GTCTGTGTGGGTGGTAGGAGGGTACCACTGGTAGGTCTCACTTCTTTACTTTCCCTCTGTTGTTTCTGTCTGTGTGGGTGGTTGGAGGGTGTCACTGGTAGGTCCTACTTCTTTTTACTTTTTCCTCTGTTGTTTCTGTATGTGTGGGTGGTTGGAGGGTGTCACTGGTAGGTTCTACTTCTTTTTTCTTTCCATCTCTTTCCTCAAACTCAAAACATTTGGGGAGGTCTCAAAACTTGCTGCCTACCTGACTCCGTCTTGTCAGCGTTGTAGTTTTAGTAAGAGTTTTACGGCACATGCAACACAAATGGGTCTTGTAGAGAGTGGCCTATGAAGAAAAGAAGGAGAGATTAGGGCGCCAGATGCTTGATTGGAAATAAGGACAAACCACAATAGAGCACCTGCCAACCGCCCACAGGATTCTAGGCGTTACTTGAGGGTAATTCACTAAGAGAATGAGAAGAGATACGTACGATAGTGATAGATGTTAGAGGTTTGTGAATTTTTATCAAATTTTTGTTTTTTGTCTCAACACCTTTCATGCCCATTAAAGAACTCATTTCCGTGTGGATTTTTCTGAAAAACGTTAATTAAAGGCATAAAAAAGTAAATTTTCTGTACCACAAACCTGCGGAAAAATGCAAGTTTCTTCAATTTGATTATTTTGACGAGAGCCTGATTCCAACACGATGCCTCACAAATGCTATCTATTATCATTATTATTGTTATTAACTAACAAGGAAAAGAAGTAGAGATAAGGACCAAAAATAAAATGTCTGATAGAAGGAGAAAAGGAACAAACCATATCAGAGAACCCACCAACCACCCACAAGTTCAGAGTCAGAGGTAAGTAAAGAAGGAGATCAGAAAAAGTCGATTTTAGAAGTTTGATAACAAAGGAGCGAACCACAGCACCCGCCAACCACCCACAAGGTTAGAGGTTCTTCTGAGGGAGGTTCTTTAAAAAAAAGTTTTAGTTAGAGTTTTACGGCACTTGCAACACAACAGGGTCATGAGAGTTATAATATATAGGCTAAGTGCCGACGTTTAGTAGTAGTACATGTAGTGTTACAAGAGAGTAACAAAGACCAAAAAGGAGCAGAGATAAGGACAGTATAATAATAATAATAATATAATAATGATAAACTACACTTTTATTTGTCCCAGAAGGGCACTTTGTTTTACAATGGCAAACATACATACATAAATACATAATTATGAATACGTACATACATAAATACTTACATGCATAAATACATACATGAATACACACTATTACTCAAATACAGAACAGTTTACAAACAATGCCACTGTTGGTCGCCACTGTGCAGCGCCCTGTATTTTGAGCTAGGGTTG